CTCGGGATGATGGGAAGAATGAAAGGGCAAGGAGGAAATATACTTTATGCTACCATACCCATTTATGAACTTCCAAGGCTTGTGTTCACCATCTGAAGTAATCTCTTGCTTAGTCTTGTGGTTAAAAATAGCAGGTCTAAAGTTGATCACAGCTTTTTAAAAATTTTTAAATACATTTAATTCCATTAAAGGTTCTTATTACTGCATTTATACTTATTTCAGTATTGTAGAATGGAGGTTATTTTGGACCTCTGATAAATTCAACATTTTTAAGATTTGCATTAGATGCTACTACTACTACAATGTTTCCATATCTTAAATCTTCTAATTTATGCCCATTATTCCCTAAATTATCCTATCAAGTTTTTTTCCATTTCTTTGTGTAGTGGGTTGACCTTGGTGGGACCTCAGGTGCCCACCAAGCCACTCTATCACTCCCCTTCCCAGTGGGACAGGGGACAGAAAACAAGATGGAAAACAACTAGTGGGTTGAGATAAAGCAAAAAAACCCAAAACAAACCCAAAACAAAAAACCCACCAGCAAACAAACAATCAAAAAAACACCTTCTCTGCCTCGCCTAGAAATTCTACTTATTTGGGGAACTTATTATATTGATCAGCCCTTGTCCTCTCGTTACTTGTCAGAATTACAAAACTCCTGACTACATTAATAAGTGTTAAATCTAAATAATCCCATTTTACAGATGGGCTAATTGAGGCTAAGGAAAGTTTACAATTGCATCAACTACTTAGCTGGATGTCTCCAAACTTCTACAGATTAGTTTGTTGGGCTCTGACTTGTGAAATAGCTCTGAGTAGAGTTAATTTCCATATATCCGTCTTTAGATGTTGTAGTCATACTGCTGCCAAGGAGACTCTGAAGCTCTTCAAAGAAGGGAAGTACAATGACTACCTCTTTCTTTACAGCACATACCAGCTAAAACCCAGACCAGATAATCTTTGCAAATTACTCAAGAATGCCTAAACATGTGGGCTATCACTCAGACTTAGTATTGTATTAAACTAGAACAATCAGACTTAGCATTGTATTTAAACTACAGAAACCTCCTCCCAGCTATGGGAACACCACCGATTGAACACAGGCACTGAAAATGGGCAGGCAAATCAAAACAGGAAGGAAAGCACAAAATCAGTAGATAGCATTTTAAGGCAAACAGACCTCTGTAGTTCTCTGCAGATACTGGGCAGTAACTTATGCAACCTCCCAAGTTCTCCATAAGGGCCCATCAAGCCAATTTTAATTACTTAATAAATATGACATGTTTAATAAGCATAGATTCTTAGGATGAGAGGATCTACTCTCCATTTTCAGAATGCCATCAACTTGTATATTTTTTTGCTTCCCTTTTATAGCTAAACTTAAGGTTCTTCTGTCATTTTGTCAACTAGGTTAACTTTCTCCTGTGCTGTAACTCATATTTGTTCCAGTCTGCATTAAAAAAAAAAGTTTTGTTTTTTCTCCCTGCCATTCTAGTATTCTTTTCCACCTCTCCTGTCCTGCTGTAATCTTCTGCCTTAAGATCCAGCATTTTTTCTCATCACTTTCAAGGTTCTAAAGAAATTAGATAACATCATTCCAGTCACTGTCCTGCTCCCACTCCATGTGGGATTTTAAGTATTTCTTCTGTTTTCTTCTGCAATCACTTCTGTGCCCGCTCTCATTCTGTGAAGAATGCAATTTATTTTTCTCCCCTGGCACGTCTTCCCTCTTTCAAGTTTGTTTTCAATGCTCTTATAAATAAGTTTCCTATTCTGAGATCATTTAGGGCATTACAACAGTGTCTATAATCAGACTGTTCCAATACTCTTGTAAGCCAAGGAGAGCTCAGCTGGCAACACTAATACTCTTTTCTTGATTGATAGTGAAATATCTAATGGAAATTCATGTTTTGCCCAGTTCTCTTGTTACTACAGCTGTGCACTGAAAGGTGATGATGCAGTAAGAAAAAAGTGCAGCTCCTTTTCCCAACAAACTTGGTTAAAATTCCAATGTTCAAAAATAGATACTGAGGTGATTGTGAAAAACGATTGCTGTCAGTACCAGGATGCTTTGGTGGTTTAGAAACTTGGCATAAAAGTCTAGGTTTTCCTAACCCAGATATCCTGGCTCAGGCTCTAATTCCATAAACCGCATGATAGACGATATTGTAAAAGTACGCAAGAATTACACTTTATATAAGCATGGGCACTTTCCAATCTCAATCAAAACATTAGCACAAAGACTTTACAACAACAGAAATGACATTAGATCTTTTGTAAATTTAACTTCCTCTGAATTTGTGTTCTCATTCTTTTTGTATTGGGCTCCTATTTTACAGTTGGCATGAAAAAGAAGAAAACCAAAGATCATTCATTTGGAATACCACACAATTAAATGCTAACTTTTGGCTCTATGGTAGTACATCTAAAACCTCACATTAAGAACAACATTTGTCAGCAGTATCTAAGTATTTGTATCCGACATTTTCCCAATACTTGTAAACAAGGTAATAATTGTTTTTTGAAAGGCATTGCTATAGCTCACCATTGAATTTACATGCATTATATTACACCTGCACTGATATGTCTGCACACAAACCACCTCCACCCCGCAGTTCTGTTTCAGGCAGGAAGTTTCTCTGCTGTTAGTTTCTCATAGGTCAGTATTATAAAGTCTCAAATATTACTCTTACAATCACATTCTGGAATGTGATCATACTTAATTAAGCCTGTACTTCTCAAACTTCACTTACAAAGGACACTGTTAAATATTCCACCTGAAATTACTTCAAAAATTTGAGAACACTGCCTCCAGTATTAGTAAATCCAACTAATTTGAAAAAAATCTTCACCGTTTCATAAAGCATGACCTCCTCTGCAATGCACTTTTTAAAGACTTCTGTAGGAATTCTGAAGTATAATATGGAACTTTCCCTGAAGAGAAATGAAAATACAAAGAACTGCAAAACATAAAGCCTTTTAAGTAACAAACACTGAACAGATTGACTAAAATTGTAGCTTACATAAGTAGCAAAACTGAACATGGAATACCTGATAAAAATCTGACAGAGGCCTCCTTCTCCTTTCTTAAGCAAGATTTGGAAGATTGAGAACTCACAATCCAAAGGAGAATGGCCAACAAGTATGTAAGTGGCAGTCAGACTGAAAAGGAAAGCTGTTAACTGCAGCATGGAACAAAATCAGCCCACTATTTAATACTGTACTTGTGTGGGGAAGCAGTTGATTGAAGCTATGTGTTGATACTTTATCACTCAGAACGCCTGTAAAATGAATCAATCAACACTTAAAAACTCACACAACATTTAACAATGGGGTCATAAATTTCAGTGCCTGTCACAAATTCCAATTTGGAATAGTTATAGCTTATGTGCCTACATTCTCCTGACATTTTCAAATATATACACTGTTTGAACTGTTCTGCAACAGTGGTTTGTACTTTTGGGCTATCTGCTGTATTTAAAGCTGTCCCAGAGGTTATACTTAATGGCATGGAAATGCTTTGCTATAATTTACTTCAGGCATCAGTTTAGATGATAAATATTTAGTCTGGTACATCAAAAATCAGCAGCTTAAAGAAGGGATTTAAAACATGGTTTTATGAGCTGTTACAAAACTTCTCAATTAAGAAATAAATGATTACAGCAAAATCATTTTATGCAAAACAAATTCAATAGGTTATGTCAGGTATTGTGGTCTGAAGGTTGGTATTAGGATATGTTCCATTTTACATGAAATTTTATATATTAAATCTTCTACCACTAATTTATTTTCAGAAAGAATGTCTTGCTAGCTGCTCTAAGAAATTCTTACACTTTTGTATTACCGTTTTCATCTCCATTCCCCTCAGAAACACTTACTTTCTTTCTAGGCAGAAGAAAATTAACAGATGTGCAAATGATCATTCAAACACTTTTTCACTGATGATTCCCTGGTTTCCTAGAGGAACCAAGACGTACAGTATAATCATGGCCAACAGAAAATATTTTACACACTTTAAGAAATACTTAAATTTTCATTATCAAGTGTAGTTATGTATTCCATTTCAGATCGTTCAATTACAAAAAACTCCAACAGTTTTAATTCAAAAGCCTCAAATCAATACAACATTATATCATAGCTTACTTATTTCTGCATGTAATACAAAAGCCCGAAAGTTCTTTTTATTATTTTACAAATAGAAATAGGAAAACTGAATTTCTTACAATTTCTGGGGACTGAAGCTAGTTCTAAAAAATAGTAGTATGATCCTGAAATGAAAGAACTTCTGACTATATGCTATATATACTTTATAGCAATGCTACAGTGTAAACCAAAAACTATATATGCAGAAGACTTTGCAGCAATTCAGTTTGATACTGAAGTGAGAGATGTATCTTGCATGAAGCACTGTACAAAATACAGACTTACTGCTCAGGTCCGTACAGCATTACTATCAAAAAAGTTTCAGATGGTTTTATTCTAGATTTCCCCAAATTATTAAAATCTAACCCAAGTCACTGTCCAGGTTAGCATGCTATATCGTATCAGAAAGCAACACAAAAAATACCACATTTTATCTATTAAGTCTCAGTCAACTAAAGTGCTTAAGCACATGTTTTTGAGTTTTGTATTACCCATGTGAAATCTGCTGTCAAAGACACTACACACTTTAAGGGATACAGCCAGCTAAACTTTAATGCATGCTTATGTTTCATTTTCTTTTCCTGATCTTTTTGCTTTCAATATAAGACTCATTTTAATCCACTCCAAATCAGTGCAGCTATAAATAAGAAGGATTTGATCCAGCAGCTTGGAAAGACAGAGAGATCAGATAAGATGTCATTAAAATTATTACATATATCAGACATGCTTTATGGTGTACTCAGTTATTATGTCACGCCAGTTAAAAGACTGAATACTCTTCTTTTAAACAGCATGGGATGATTTTTAACAATCAAGAGCTCTATAATTGCAGTGGTAGACCTCAAAAAGACTCAAAATTCAGTTTCCAAGATATTTTAATTAAATCCCAAGTCCAAAAGTCTTCACAACAAAGCAAGACAGGAAAAAATATTAGTTGGAAATACAAAGCTCTATGACACTAATACCAGAGACGAACCTATAGTGTTTTAATGGCTGAAGAACAAGCTTTTTTTCCAGCCTCTTAAAAAGATGGAACAGTTTTGTTCTGTCAGTAAGTCTCCCTGAAAGTTCAAGTTAATTAGAATCTCTGCTTCCAGTTTTGGGATCATTGTTGATAAATATTAATATTTTCTCTTAATTAACCCATACAGATACATAAAATTTTAAGTGTTCACGCAGAAGGAGCAAGAACCAATAATCAAAAATACATGTAGTAGTCCATACACCTGTGGGGGATTAAATTGGAACACATCAAAATTACTCCCTCTGAAGTATCAATAGATGTTTTCTTCCAGAACATTTTCAAATTAAATACAAATGTCCTCAAGACTCTCTCAATTTAGACTTATGTCTCAGATAATACAAATACTGAAATAATTTATGTATAGAAAAGTCCTTCCCAGTGTGGACCTGTCAGCCTTCTCGCATTCAGCCTCTCATTTCAGGAGGAAAGCACTAATCTTAGTTACCATGTTAAAGGTATTGTACTTATTAAATCATTGTTTACAATAATAAAACAGGAGTAAGAATTTTAACAAAACATCCTAATACTCAAGTTTTTTACAGTGAGCATTTTCCAATTCTGATAATCCAAATATTGCAAAATGAATTCTAATTCTTGAGTGGTGTTCACAGTACTTTCTTTAATATTTTGCATACATCAAGCCATTGCACTCATGTTTCAAGCTCCACTGTCTGTTAAATCAAAACAGAGATTCCTACTGTACCATTAATTGCTAATCTGACACTGAAACAGTGGTTTCATAGTCATGAGTGATGGGATTGAGAATGTCTGTGTAACTCCCCTAACAGGTACAGTAATAAACTGTTAGTTCTTTAAGCGAAAGACATGAATCTGTTGGATTAAAGCTTCATTCTCTGCCTGTAATGAGTAACTTGAGGGCCTTCTGTAGATTTTGCACGGCAGTGCTCACATCTTCATACTGCAACGCACTGCCAGCATATTTGCAATATTTTTGAGCTCTGGCAAAGTCCTCTGGAGTCAAGCGGACTTCTCCTGCAAAAACATAAGTATTACAAAGTTACTACAAAGGAAATCTGATTTAAGCTTCCTTTCTTATGATTTTTATGTTTTACTGATGTTTGTGGTAATACTATGAAAACCAGGCTAATATTTGTGGTACTATTATAAAGACCAAGCAACAGTATTTCTCCTGTTCTGTTCTCTTTTCTTTCCATTCGTATAAAGCTTAACTTCTTTGCTACTGAAAAATGTGAGGACCTTTCTAAACACTGGTATTTGCATGACCCAGTGCCTTTCAAAAGTAAGCCAATACCTTTGAGAAAGATCTGCTCTTCATCTAAGACAGCAAAGGAGAGTTTTACATGACATTAAGTCAGCTGTAATCATGTTACAACCTGCAAGAAACAAGGACAGTGCTTTTTGTGTTTACAGCATAATTACTCTGCTTTCTTCACAAATAATACATAGTTACAAACTGTTCCTTCTCAACTGGAATAACTTTTCCGAATGTAGAAGCATTTCTCACTGGCATGTTTTCACATTTTATGTTTCTGTTTTTCCAAATAATTTTTGTTTCTGGTTTTATGTAAGATGACTGAAAACAAGACTGATGTCATGAAATGTGACCATTTTTGTAACACTGGAGAACACTAGCAAAAAATATTCCCATAATGTAGTATAAACCAGACTATGTTACTTATTAATTAGAGTCTTCTTGAAGTAAGTCAAAACTTTAGGAATTCTGTAGTGCTCAAACACATGCATTCAGTCTTGGAGAAGACACATTAGGGACTTAAGCCCTAAATGGCAGAAGATTTTATATGTGAATAGTATCACTGATGCGGGTGTAAAATAAAGCAGTACTGTGTTACCGTACCCCCTTCCACCCACAAATTCACTGTGAGTTTTAAGGCTAATCCCATGCTACTCCAATAATGGACAAATTTATATATACCCAAATACGGACAAATTATAAAATCTTTACTCTGGTTCTTTAAAAACAACTTGTAAATGATAGATTTTTATGGGCACAGATAAATAATCATATAAACCACTGACGATTGTGCATATATTTAATAACTTCCCACACAGTATGGTATAAGCACTGAACAGATTTCACAGATTAAGAGCAAATGTGCTTTTAAATGCACCATACATTTTACATACAATTTAGTTAAGCAAAGATTTAGCTCTCTAAATACATTTTACTCTTAAGCAACTACATGAACATCTTTAAAGCCATTTTTTATGGCACAATTTCCATTAGCTAAATCCTTTATTTCAAAATAGAACTGTTGTTAGGAATACTGTGAGAATGTTTACTAAAGAATCTCTACTCTTATCAAAAATGTCTATTATATTTGCTTTTCCTTCCCCCAGTCTTACTATTTAAGAACAGCTTTTGAAAAAATAAAAAAGAAAACCTGAGAATATTAAAAATTAGATTGGTCTGCTGGTTTTTAAAACAACCCTACCCAAATAAAATCAGAAAGGTAAGCACTCTGAAGATTAATTTTAACCATCTTTAAAATATACTCTAGAACTCCAATTATTTTCAAGAAATAAATATAACCATTGAGGGACATAAAAACTTGGTGGGCTCATTATGATTGTAATGTGTATTAATTTCATGCTTAGTAAGTGAAGCCACATTTAATCTCTTAAAATACATACACATGTGAGTAAATACATGCGAGGGAGTGCATAAACACAGATACACACCTCGGGTATTTTGCAACCTCAGGAAAGTCACAGACTAAAAAGCAGCTGGGTGAATCTGTGACCACATTTTTGAACACCTTTAAGAAATTAAAAAGACCAAGTTTCCCTCAAAGTAGCTTTATGCTATGGTGCCAAAAGAAACTACAAAATCATTCTTTAAAAACTGGCCAAGGCATCAGTCCAGTATTCAAATAATTTATTGGAAGCAAGCCTAAATTCACCCGTCTAATCTTATTTTTACAGTATGAGCTCTATTAATGTTTTGCTGGCATAAAGCCTTATTTATTATGAAATCTACCTCAGATGCTATTATGACATAACTTGAGGGAAAAAAAAAATTATTAGTTTTAAATTTACAAACCAAAGTTTATAGAGTAAGAAGGTTGATCTTTTGATGTGCTCAGTAGCCTGAGCTCCTATTGAAGTCGACACCTCACAATGGAAAAGCAAAATAGAAACAAACCAGCTCTGTGTTCTGAAGTTTTACAAATAATGTAAAACTTAACTGCAATGACTGTACTTAACATCAAAGGTATAACCACAAAAGTTAGTAACCTACTTCAATTTACATATTCCAAAGTTAAGCAGTTTTGGAGGAAATGCCCTGGGAGTCCTGGTGGACGCTGATCTGCCCGTGAGCCAACAATCCGCTCTTGTGGCAGAGAGTGACAATGGCATCCTATCCTGCATTAGGAAGAGCACTGCCAGCAGGTGGGTGGGAGTGATCCTGCCCCTTTCAGCCACATCCTGAGTGCTGTGTCCAGTTCTGGGTTCCTCAGCACAAGAGACAGACCAACATCCTGGAGGCAGTCCAGCAAAGGGCCACAGAGATGACTAAGGGAATGGAGCATGAGAAGTGGCCAAGAAAGCTGGGACTGTTCAGCCTAGAGAAGAGAAAGCTCAGGGGGATCTTATATCAAGTACCTAAATACCTGAATATCACGGCAGTTTCCAGCCGGGCAATGCCCGGTGGACTGCCTTGGCCAGGATAGCTCAGTGGCTCTCAGCACAGCATCCGAATTCCCAAGCAGCTCCCAGCTGCAGGCAACCTAAGCAAGCTTAAGTGGTTTCAGCTCTTAATGATTATCAGCTCTTTGTGATTTCAGCTCTTTAGCTTGCTGGTGCCGCTGCAGCAGATGCAAGGAGAGAGAAGCGCTGTATAAGCTTCCACAGGAATTCTTTATTGGTGTCCCCCACGAAGGTTCTCAATCACAGCTCTTCTGCTGAACCAGGCAGAATTAGGGGTTTATATACCTTACAGGGGTTTTGGAAATTGTCCAATAGTAAGGGGCAAGGGAAAGTGACCTTTAGGCTTACAGAGAGATAAGCAGGGTCCGAAAGGCGGCAGAGAGGGGCTTCTAATGTCCAATCATCGTGACTTGGCATTTCCTAGCTCAGGCTTCTGACCGCCAAGGAGGCCTTGCAGGCTACACCTGAAGGGAGAGTATTAAAAGGACAGGCTTTTTTAGTGATGCCCAGTGACAAGACCAGAGGCTGAAACACAGGAGGGTCCTGTCTGAACACCAGGAAACAGTTTTTACTCTGAGGGTGACCAAGATCTGGGACAGGTTGCCCAGAGAGGTTGTGGTGTCCGTCTCTGGAGACATTCAAAACCTATCTTTAGAACGAGCAGTGACACTTTTTCTCAAACTTCTTCAGTGCAGGAAATTAAACCACAGGGAGAGTGGACAGGCTGGGGGAGACAAAAAGGACACGGTCCTGAGTGACTGGTTTTACATGACCCTTCCTTGAGCAGAAGGGTTGGACCAGACCACCTCCTGAAGTCCTTTCCAGCCTCAAGTATCCAGTGATTTTTGGCTCTAAAAAAGCCCAACAACAATGAGATACAAAAGGAATATTGTATTTATTCTGAAACAAACCTGCTTCCTGTGTTAATCTGGAATTATTAGGACCGTAGTTATACTACTGAAACATGACAGGAATAAAGAATCTGTAACATGCATAATTCTCTTAGTTTAAGAGAAACACAGAGTGAAACTGATTTGACTAGAGCTGCTGAAATCATTTTGGGAAAAAAACAGTTTTAGAATGAAAGTAATGTGCATTTTACATAAATACATCTGCTTCTCCTTGGAATCCTTTTCTACCCTTCTGATGTTTTTCCTTTTTAGAATGCCCAAATATAAGGCAGATGATTTAAGAACATTTCAGTCATACAAACTGGTGTACAAAAACAGTGATGGAAAAGGTAACAAATGGTTTTTGAAACAAGATACTCTTTTTACCCATTAAATCACTTGAAATATTTGAAATATAAGTACTCAAGGATTTCTTTTTAGGATCATGAAAACACATTCAATGTCAAATTATTATTTCTACTTTGTGTGTAGAATATCAAACATTATACACACAACTACAATGGACAAATGCCTTCTTTATACTATGCCACCTGCGCAAGGGACCATATGGCAACATAAGATGATCTTATAAAATCTGTACAGCACAACTATGAATGCCTTTAGTGTTAGCAAAATCTAGGGGTATAAATTTTTTTAAGACGACGACACCAGAGAAGTGCACACACACATACACGAAGTTGCTGCATAATTCTACATTCTGTTGTCAGACACATTAACCCATGCTGAAATGAAAAAGCTTTGAGACTTTCAAAAGTCAGTATTAAACTCTGAAACCTCTTCCCACAGGACAGGACAACTATTGAAAGATTCATGCTAACTAAAAATCAAAGAACACTATTCCTTAATCTTCTTTGATAAAATATTCTCTTCTCCACTAGAAGTTTTTCTCCCATAAGAGCTTTAATCAAATGGCTTCTCCCATGTTACAGAAGCAAAGAAAAGATATAATTTATCTTTAATATACACATTTGATCTTACTACAATAAAGAGTCTTGCAGGAATATGTGGAATATCCTGTTTGGCTATGCCTACACTACCACATTCAACACTGCCAAGGAAGGCGTCTCAGCACTCAAACATGACTGTCTGCAGTGTCAAACTGCTGGAACAGATTCCAGTATGGTTTTGGCCTAGCAATTTCCCAAACAATTCCTGGGCATGACTTGTGGTCAGAGCAAGCTACAGACCATTCAACACAAGCAGTCTTAACAAGCTACCTTGTTTAGGTTTAAAAGTTTAATAATATGGATGTGAGAGGTTCTGTGCCAGCTGTTCTCCATGCCAAATATTTGCAATCCTGTATGATTTGTTAGCATGGACACAGACATCGTGTCTAAGTCATGGAACAAATGTACCTTGCACTGTGCTAGCTCTGTGGATCTTTTGGATGGAGGGCAACACTGATCCCTCCTTCCCGTGCAAAGGAAACCTCAGTTCCACAGGAATGGTACACACCTCAATATGCAGCAAGGATCTAGCCCAGATATGTATATTGCAGCTCAGGAACTGGGGAGGGCTCATGAGTCCCACAGTTTTGTACATCCATTAACACATACAGGCATTTCTCCATCTACTTATGGGTGAGAGAACAAGGCCACTGTTGGCATAGAAAGGATTCCTCACAGCAGCATGGGAAGAATGCACAACAAGACAACGACAGGCAAGGACAAACACTTTCCATTGCTCTCCACTTCTCTAACTTCTTAACTCCACACATGCAAAGAAAGCTACCAGTGTACCTCTGCTGACACATCCCCTGTGCCCTCTGAGACTCCTGCATAACTGACAGTGTGTCTTCTAAGCTTTCAAACCAAGAACCTGTACTACCTTTATCATTTCTTTGCCTCCACTTTTGCAGCACTCCCTCATAAGAATGTGACCCTTTGAGCTGCTAGAAGACCCAAGCTTGTAGTGACACAACAGGGATGTGCAGGGGAGGAATGCAGGCATGCAAATACACAGGTTAGATCAAGTTAGGAGATTTGTCATGGTGCTTAGCAAGGGTCTTAATCTTATAATTACACAATATTACTTATTACACGTTCTCATAAACATACTTAATTCCTTCTTATTTATATACTTATTAAACCAGGTTATCTCAGGTAGGTGGTAAAAGGGAGCAATGCAATCACACTATTCAGATATGAATAATGGAATGTCATAAACTTAATAAAAAAAATTAAGTTTCAATCAAAACTATGACATTCTTGACAACCAGAAACAAGCATTCAAACCAAGAAACAATGTGACTAAAATTTTTAGAGTAGTTACCAATAAACCTGATACAATGACTGTCTAGAAGATCATGATAAGCTAGTTAAACATGAAAGCTTTGCTTCCAGACATCTCAACATTTGCCTTCCAACCAGCAGTTATTATGTCAAGGCTTAAATAAAGCTTTGAGCCATTTCAGTTGAGGAGCTACCAAAACACCCACAGCAGTCCCCAAAACTCAAAAGCTATCACCAAATTTAAATGTTACAGCTACAGGTCTGAGGTGTTGTTTTCAATAGAATGAGTTACTGCCACATGAGACATCAGTGCCAGCAGAGCACAGTGCTAATAATGCCAAGGTTGTGGGTTTGATCCTTGTATTGGCCATTCACTTCAGAGTTGGACTTAATCCTTCTGGCTCCCTTCCAGCTCAGAATATCCTGTGATTACAGTAATATGCCAGAAAAACTCTAGCACCTATAGTACCTTTTGCTCTTCAGGAAAATACTAAAGTTAGTATGTCTCTATCAATGGCAAATTTTTATTTTTTCTGTAAAAATGGCTTTCTAATATATTAGAATGAAAATATCCTTAAGCATTCTTTATGCCAGCAGATTAAAAACAAGTTGAACATTGAATTCCTACTATAGCATTTGATTGAAGCACAAATGCCTTTTCAGAACACCTATTTTAACACAGACACAGTCTTCAACAACATAATAAAGTAACTAAATATCTCTAAGTTATAAAATACAAGAACATACCTATCTAAACTTTGTAGTCATAACAGGCAATGTGTTACTGTGGTTAGTACTAGAACTTAACATAGCAATTACATATAATATTGTATACTAACGAGAGTATATCCTGATGAGGATAAACTCTAGGCTTCCTAGACCTCCCTCTTCATTCAACGTCCATGTCATATTGCAAAAATAAAAAAATCTGATTATTACAAACAGATGTAATCTATGGAGTTTTTTTACACACTTTTCTCTATTCCATGGACAGAAAAATTCTTAGAAAACAGAAAAACTCTCTGTCCATATGTACTCATGTACCATACATACAGGAGTGTTCAAATGAAAATCTAGGATGATTCCAGCTTTATTGTCAGTTACTACTCCTCCACAGGCCATGGTTTCCCCAGGGTCAGCCCTTACATGTACACTTCAAAGCATGGAACACCCAAGCAGACATAAAATACATATGATATAGGTTATCAACATCAAAGACAGATGACATCTTAGAAGACAAAAGCCTTGATTAAATGGTACATCAAAATAACATCATTAGCAGTACCTTACAAATTAATTGTTTCATTTAGCACAGATACTACTAGTCAGGAAGCACGCACTATTTTTCTGCACAAAATCACAACCCGAGTGTTTTATGAAGCATTTTATGAAATTAATAAGTAACTTACATGCTCACCCTGTAGAACAAATTTTAAGTAAAGGGAATGTATATTAATTACAAAAAATACTATTTGGCAAAGCAATCAGGAATATAGACTTTGCAAAGTATATCAGAACCTCACCTGAGAAGCAACAATATAAATAATAAAAAGCCTTATGCAATGCTAGCTAATTAGTTCAAAGTAGTCAGACAGACAACACTATATTGTAACAGCTTTCAGAAACTACTAAAAATCTTAGCAACACAATGCTTAGATGTTGTCCACTCTTTCTAAAATTCTGGAATAGCATTCAGATAATGCTGACAATATTTCTCAAAATTCTTCCTTCAGTGCAGGGGAGACACAGAGGACAGAGTATGTCCATGTACAACAATACAAATGCCCCAAGCTTACCTGCAGACTGAGCACTGTAAAGGGAAGGATCAACCAGAGGTATATTCTGAGGAGCAGGCTGAATGGTGTTACTTGTCACTCCTGCAAATCAATGCAAAAAAAGGACTTGGATTATTTTTACTTATTGACTTTAAAAGTAAGCAAAAAACCAGAACAGATATACCTTATAATTTTCAAATTAAGCAGCTGATAGCATATGAATTCTGAAACTGTGTAACAAATAATTTAAATGCTTTCACTTCAAATATGAATGTTTCATAATATAAAACAGAAGAATGTACAGAACTGTCATCCATTTTACCAGTACAGGACTTCACAGAAATTTAATTTCAGGCATGAAAAAAATAAGAAAATACTAGTCCAAGAGACACTGGTTACCCTAACTTATTGAGGAAAACCTGCTAAAGAAAAGTGCGAGTAAACTTTTATATTTGAAACTTAAATTCTACATTCTAATACCAGAAGCAGTCTATATTACTATACTTTTAAAACCCAGTGCCAGTGACCTCACACTTGCCAATTATCTCCTTCCTAATTCCTTTGAAAACAATTAATGAGAATAAAAAAGCTAGCTAAGTTTAAAAGGGAAATAATGGTGCTAGAAGAAGAAGCAGCACTTTATACTGTGAAGTGTTCTTGTACCTGCATTTTCATTTTAGGTACACTAATTTGTTTTGATTGAAAACTGTATTTTTGCAATATGTCCAGAACATAACAGACTAGCATAAAGTTATTTTTGCAACATCTGCTGTCTAGGAACAGAGTAAAATCACTTTCCTAAATTACATCACTCCATTGAACAATAGGTGTGGTTAAAACTATGAAATGTACAGAATTTATTTATTCCAACAAGGTACGTACTCCATAATTTTCAGATCCTCCCAGACCCAAAAAAAACCCCACCTATCAGAAGGATTTCCCTTTGATAAAGCTGACAAAAAAGAGCATCCTGAACTCTTCATAGGGTGAAGCATTTTTAAATGAGAATGTAAAAGGAGAGACTGTGTGACAAAAAATCTCGTACATTTGATAATATAAAAATGTATCTGAACAATAAATGATCACTAGGATTGAAATAAACATTTTAATTTTTTTTAGTTTAATTAATTAATTATTAATTAAGAATTAATTAATAACTCTGCTATATGATCATTATAAAAAGGTCCCATAAGGTGAACAAGCTTTATTCATCAATCACTTAATCATTTTTATTTTTTTTTAAATAAATACAGCATCTGGGAAGGAACTTGGAATTGCTAAAAACTTGGTTTTGGTCCCAAAATTACACGTAATAAGAAGGATGTAGGAGCCAGTATGTTTAGCCGTAGGGACAAAATTCCCATTAGTAATAATATCTGAAGTCAGTCACACTAAAGCACTTCCACGGGAAAAGGGGTACTAGTCAAACCAAACTAGTATGAATGGTACATCTGGCATGACTGCTATGGGGTTGTAAGAATTTCAACATTGTGTTGATAAGGTCCCACATGAAGAACAGCAGCCCATCTGCACAGGGGGAGCTACATATGAAATGAAGTAATACAATTCCACCTATAAAGTGAAAGATTCAAATTGTGCTTTACAGTACAAATGTTGCAATGCAACACCATTTTACTGATATAAGAAAAGACAATAAATTCTGTCTGAAGGAACATTTACTTTCTTAGTCCATAGATGTATTCTGTAAAAGTGCTCCAAACTATGATTTACATATTTTAAGAAAACATTAAAAAATATTGCCAGTGGCATTTTTACAGTTTTAGCTTACGAAGATGCTTTTGCCACACAATACTGTGCTATTTTACTTTCTATGTGATGAACTAGAATTTGGGCAAAAATTCACCTCCCATTAAAGGCATGTATTTCTCAGGTGTGATTTGGACATACCTGTGTTATGAGGTACTTCAGCTGGAGTGTTGGCTGGTGCATGGGCACCTGGTGGTATATGTATGCCAGTGTAATTACTAGTTGGTATGTTGTTAGCTTCATATGTAGATGACGATGATGGAGCTGTTCCACTATGGACAGAAGATGACCCTGCTTCTTCCCTTTCAGCATCTGCTAAAATAATACAAAATAGGAATGACTGCAACTACTATGTATAAACACTTGAAAACTTTGGCTTTCCTTAACACCTCCTTTCAAATTTTTATTGCTAAAATAATTGCCACCACAATGTGTGACATAAAGCATCAACCCAAACACCATAGGGTTGATTTGAAAAGGTAAAAAGCAACATATCATACAACAAAGATCTAGACAGTCACATACTTCCAAAGATCTCTTCTGTTCACCTCGAAGAATCATTTCCTTGCTTGTCTGAATATAAGCTATCTGTCTCATTAGAACAGTTTGTTATACCTTTGTGTTCTGCATCCATAGGAGTTGAACAAATAGGCAATAATCCACATTTTAACATATACATGAACCAGAATATGGAAAACTGTATTTGCCTTACAAACTCTTCATAAAAGGCTAGGCAGTGCCAATTCTTTTACCCCAAATCAAACCACTAATAAATAAGAACCAAGAGGAAGTTTGGGAAAGTAATACCACACAGGAAACTAAATGCAGCTTAGCCAAGTCATAATTGCATCTAGAACAGTTAGAATACATAATGATCTGTAAGAATAATGAGATTCAATACATCCCACATCATGTACAAAGAACATACATATTTTTCAATCTAGTCATGTTCTTAAAGTTCTGATCTACTTTATTTAATACAGCTTTAAAGGCTAAAATGTGTATCAGTAAGGTCAGATGGAACAAGCAGTTTTGGGAATTGTTTATTTAACAGCCAGTGCTTGAAAAGGAACAAAAAATATGGGAGGACAAAACTTGTATGTGTGTAGAGCTAGCAAAAGAGGTATTTTTTAATAAATCCACATTGATCTTCAACTACACAAGACTATGACTTATGCAAACACTTCAGCTATTTAATAATTAAAGGATCTACTATTAAAAATATTACTATTACAAATATCAGAATTGTTTCGCATGTAAGTCCTTCTACCTCCCAGAAAAAAATTCACATGCTACCTTTAGGAAAAATGCTTAAATACTTTTTGACTTACAATACGATTTACTAATAAAAAGGCTATAAAGCATACTAAAATCAAATATTGTTATTAGAGTATTTTTACCGGACTTTAATAAATACACTCTGACTTTATGGCACAATTTCTGACACATGCAAATAAACACCTGACAGGTTTCTGGAAGACAAAAAACACCTTAAGGTGTCAGACCTTTCTTTTGCTGTATTTTTTGTTAGTAACTCATACTGCAATATCGTGTAGCTAACATGTGTGGAAATAAAATTAAATGTCTGAAAACTGGCAAAAAGAAGCTGAGATTCAAGAGTAAACATTGCATACGCTATCTTTTAAATAATAATGTAATAATAGGAAACCATTGCTTGAATGCTGTATTTTTCACTGGTTTTGGTGTCAACTGAAAAAAAAAATTACACAACAGTTTCAGAAAAAATAGCGAACAAAACCAGAGGCCTACTTTACATAAAATGAATGAAATAGTTACACACAACACTCATCATGCTGTCTGAAGGTGAGGCTGCCAAGTATTACTTGTAACACTGTTACCAATTATTTACAGCTTGGGCAAATTGTAGCCATAAAGTTGGAACTTCCAAGCTGGGCGTCTATTTGAAGCTAGGATTTTGGGAAAACTTTTGTAAAAATTACTAAGCAACTGTTGAGGATGAGGCAGTCAGAGAAAATGTGCTTCCACTGCTTAGTATCTCAGTTATGAAAAAACTACCTGTGAATTCATGCCCATATTTAAGCTGTTAGTGCATTTATTGCTTTATTCTTCCCCTTGCAGCTTCCTGTTGCCCTAATCTGGTTCTCAAGGCACATTCTGATTTCCTTCTGTGCACTAGGATTACATATCCCATATCTGCAGCCCTTTGCCACATACTTGTGTCCCTCTTGCACAGTGTTGTATTCCATTTTGTTTGAATGGTATGCCCTGTCTCACCCCTCCGAAACGTATGGTATATTCTAATCCTGAGGTCCTGCCCTGAACCATCCTGTATCTGTCATCCCATTGGCCCAATATGATTCCGCGCCCACTTCAATTCCCCTCTTAAGCTGTGCTATAAAACCAGTCGCGCTCTTAGCCCTTGGGCTCTCTCAGCCTCTTCCCCCCTCTTGCCCCTTCCCTCCCCGAGGCTCCCCCTCCTTCCCCCTTCCCCCCTTTTCCCTCAGTAGCCATGCTGTTCCCGGGGTTGGGACCCCAAATAAACCTTCATCTAACCAGCACCCTCAGAAGCCGTGTGGAGTCTCCTTGCCTGCCTGCTGCTGCCAGCCAACTCACAGCCTAGGGGGCCCTCCGGGGACATCCCCGGGGTGCCCCCACCTCAAAACGCACCGCAACAGCACAGCTCCCATTTTCTCTCCAAGCCATTCCCAGTTTCAGCTCCCAACTTCCTCACTGCACAGTTAAGGGTCTCTACTCACTCCTATAATAGTGCAATGCTTTGGCCAACACTGGCCACAGAAGAACTCAAAGGGTTAAAGTCTGGCAACGTTAAAAACAACCAAAAAAAGTTTTAGGAGTGCTAACCACCAGTCATAACAGTGCCTGCAAGAGGTAAACTCACAAATGGGCAATCTACTTTTTAATCAGGTATATGTATCAAAAGATTAAGCTCAACTGTTTGATTTACTCATTGTGCAACTGGCCAATGTTAAAAGTGTATTAAACATAAAAGCAGTTTTGTTTAAGTTAACTCTCCTTAGTCTTTAAAGTGCCCAAATATGATAAAAGCACTGTAACTATTCTTTCAGCAAAGCAAATATTTAAAATATTCTTTATCAAAGACTAAAGTATTAGAAACATTTTAAGATATACACTCTCAGTATTTGTGAATAGTTTTTAACATTAGTGCCAGATAGAAGTATTTCAGGCTGCTATAAAAGAACATTTAAGTCAACAGAAGTTTTAAATTCTATGGTTAGAATGTCCAAAACATAATTGAAAATAAAAAATCTTTTCCAGGGAATGAGAAAGAATGGTACAAAATTAGAAAATTATTTTCTCATGCAGCAGTAATAACCTGGAATTCAAAGTTCCTTACAATTTGCTTAAAAATGCTGAAACTAGGCTGTGAAACAATGACACAATTGTTTTACATTTCATTTCAGCTACAGCTGAGTTTTTTGTCTTGGAACTTCCTCAGCTTTTGTGCTTGAATCCCAGCATAATGAATTCATGAGCTCTTTAAATTTTCTGCAGAGCTACAGTATACCCAGACCACCTGTTTGTGTTTTTTTTAATTATTTATTTACTGAAGGCAAGATTTTGTGAAATCATCACCGCAGTCCCATAACCAGCCATCCAAAGATACTTTTATATAAACAGAGGATTCTCAAGGCTTAATGGCATTTCCTTTTCTAGTGTAAGCAAGCACCAATCACAACTTAATTTCAGCAGCTCAGTGCACTAAATATAAAATCAGCAGGTTTTTTAAGGAGTCCAGATTCCTCCAGTTCTCTGTATTCCTATTTTTCATGAGCTCAGAGAATTACAATCCATGAAATTTTCTTTCTTTGTCTCATTCTGTTTGAGTTGTTTCTCTTTTGCTTGACATGTTGCTAAAAGAGTCACAATGTAAGGTTCTATTTGAACATTGCTTTCAAAAAACAAACCAAACATGCATTTTTTTCCCACAACATTGAGAAAAGAACTCAAAAATCCATCAACTTTTCCCACACTGTTCTTTTTACTAGTTGGGAGTATTAAGGTTTTCTGAAATTCTGAAGTAGAAATGTAGCCTACATATTACACACTGCAATGAAACTGATTGAATTTAGTGTATTTACTATGGCTATAGTATGGCTATTTAGGAACTTTTTTCCATTACCATTTTCTTTTCCATTAGTGTAAAACCTTGTTGGATGACCTAGGGCTAATGCTAAGTGACCTTTATGTGTATTCTAGGACTTGTATTCCAACTGCATTAATAAATTAAGCATGTCATTTTAAGGTTTCCATGGTGGCATCCTGACAAAAGCATCCATAAATCCAACAGCAGAACTGCATAAAGCATGCCTATGTACTATAAAAACATCTCCAAGAGTTACAGCATGGTTTTCAAGAATCACAAAAAAAAAAAAAAAAAAAACCACTTTGGAATAAAATGGTAATTTGTCAAGCTACAGAGACCTAGTTTCACTCTGTTTAAACAGACTTTTTCCACATGTGAGGGGAGGAAGAAAATGAGCAAGCAGAAAGGAATGGGGAAGGTCCAGTCATACATCCAAACAATACTGCTGTTCTTCTTATGATGCACAAAGAGGAACTGAAACTCTTTTGTACTGATTCTTCTCATAAAAATTAATTTGCATAAAATTTTTATCTTGATTATGTGAGACATTATGGACACCTACACCATGGAGCTAATCATAAAAAATAAACATGTATTTTTCCTTTCATTTCTTAGAAAGTTAGGAGTGTGAAAAATAATCTCTCTACATGAAATACAATTCAACAACAAAACAAACAACATATTGTCAAGTTACAGATCTTGCAGGCTCCCTATGAAAAAGGATTTAAGGTTAAAATTTTGATTCACTCAGCATTTGTGTCCCTTTTAAGATGCATGTAGACATAAGCTGGTAATGAAAGCAAAAGTCTTCACCACTTCCCATTGCAACCTGTAATGAACTGCAACGAACACCAAGGATTTGGGGAAAGCCTGAATTCTGCTTTCCTTCCTACAAGTTTCTTTTGTAGCCTTGAGCAAGTCAGTTACTTCTGTGCATTAATAAAAATGAAAAAAGAGCCTATTTCTTGCTCTATCGAGAAATAATTAGCTTCTACAAGTTGCACACATGGATTTTTAGCAAAAGCTTTGTAATGTTTACTTAGAAATTCTATTTTTGCACTTGTTTAAAATTCATAGTTCGCTTCACATACTCAGGTCAACTTTACCACACTATGAGCCAGACCACTAAAAGAGCACTAATTTAAAGCTGAAAATATTTAACTGAACTATTTATTACATTCAATATAACAAGAGACTTTTCTCTCACATGTTGCATTCTCCATTAAATCATCAATCTGCTGTAATTTGACAAAGATGAAGTGATGTTTGCTGTTGAGTTGCATCATAAGTATCTCTGGCTATAGCAGCATGGACAGCTAAGGAAACTGCCTTGGAAAAGATTGTATGTTGAAGAAGAAATTAGTTTGCTAATGCTTCACTTCAAATACAGCTGTGCCTACACTGGAGCACATTTCAGTGGGTAAGATACCCATTCCAGTGTTTAAGTCCATAGAGTGCCTTTAGGTTAGGAAAACATAATAACAAGAACAAACAGTTGCTTGGATATGAAATTCCTATACTTGGTATTTGTTCACAAATATTTCAATTTACTTATGTTGCAGTGTTTCTGGAGCACTAATATATAAATAGTATTTTATCCAGGAAATTGCAAATAAATTACATTTGGCACTCAGGCTCTTAGACACTATAAAGATAATAATAAACTGAAATAGATGTTCTGTACACATTCTCCTTAAAAAAAATCATGATAATATCTTTTTTTTTTTTAATCTAACACTGTCCAGGACATACAAATTACAATGTGGAGATGCATCAAAATGTGAGATTGCACGATGAAAAGACTGAGAATCAGAAGAGAAACTAGTTTTCTAATGTTTTGACATGTTTAAAACAAAAGTACTGAGCAGAATATTACAAGCCTACTTGTAACTTATTAGAAGTAAATTACAAGTTCAGACGTCAAAATCCACTCAAGACTCAGGTATAGACCCCAAACACAAATGAATGCAAACAAACAAATAATTACTTTTATGTGTATATTTCACATGTGTGCACAAGTATAAATACACTGGTCATCTATATTTATACATACATTCAAAAAACTTTATGTAGCCACCCCTATAAGGTAGCTCTACAGGTTAGATACATACTCTACAAGGTAGATCTTTCCCTTTTGCACTGCAGATTTGTTTATCGACCCTTTTTATTTGGAGAAATTTGTACTACTAAATCTAAGCTTAACAGACAAATTAGCATCAACTTAATTGACAAGCCACAAAGTCTCATGTGCCAGCTCAGAAGAAAATTACAACTATTTGATGGTCTTAGTTGTTCCACTAGTTATGTGAAGAATGATACACAGAGATTGTCACTGTGCAGAATTAGTCTGTTTTAATCTGCATAGTGAAAATATCCATTCCAATGACATCCCATCTCGTAAGAGATCAACCTTTGAAATTTGTATTTAATCTGCATTGCGAAGAAAAGCAAAGAAACTGGTCACTACCAAAACAAATGAAACTGATCACTATCTAAAGCAAAACAACTTGTTCTGACACACATTCAGTTTGGTTACATGGATGTCCTTGGAAATCATCTCCTTAACTCTTAGATAAAGTGGGAACCTCAAGGAATCCTGTACAGGGAGCTCAGGTAGCCAGAGGAAGCAACTGAAAACACAACGAATAGGAAGATGAATGAGAAAAGAGGCAGAAAATCCAACTCAGTAAGAGTATACCATAAACCTGTTTCGAAACTGACATTATTACACAGGGAGAAAGGAGTTGTCTCACAAGCAAGTCTTTGCTTTGAAGTTGAATTCACTTGCCATCAGTCCATTTTTAACTCCTACTTAACTTCTGAGAGAGGATAAACTGGCAAAGGGATCATAACTTTACTGAACAGATTTAAAAGAAGGACTGTGGTTAGTGTTAAAGAAATGTATGGTTCTGGCCCACAGGTGACAATGCCTTCTTAGAGAGTAGCTGTATTCAAAATAATAATCTCCACTACAAGGAAAAGAATATTTTATTAAATAAGTCAATCACACAGTAAGGCCCAATAAAAATAACAGCAGGAGAAGCTGAAAAGAAGAAGGCAGCTCATTGTGAAAGGAACATTAAGCTGGGAAGCTGTGCTTCCTGAGGGGTGCTCCCTGAAGAACTGTGCATACCACCACTTCACCTTGGCACAGCTTTCCACTCTCTTAAAAAGAAAAGGGAAACACGTACCAAAACTCTCTCCTTCCATTCCAATGGGGCCAGGCTGAGGAGTCTCTCCATTCTTTAAGCAGTTATGAATGTATGCTGCCTTCCACCTGGCATACTTCCTGTGCTGGGCATTCTGGGGGAGGGAAAAGGCCAGCCAATTTTAACCACTCACTTCTGCAAATTAATGCATTCAAAACAGAAATAGAAACATCTTTTCCACTTTCTCTGCTGTCATTTGACACCTTTTTAAAGATAAACATGTAAAATTAATAGGTGAATTACAAAAAATAATTAAAATAACAGCTCTAATATCATCATGAAAGGAAAATGTGGAGATCTTCAATTAGTGCAGCATATCAGGAAAAGGAAATAAATTATACCAAGAATACCTAGTACGAAAGACAGCACTGTGTAATAATTATTGACATGAAATAATGAAGAAAGCTTCCTATCTCCATAAATTTTGATGATTATTTACTTTAGATTTAAATACTTGAAACTTCAAATGCTACTGCTGCTTATCAGAAATATGGAATTTCTTCTAATTATATTATTTTAAAATTTAAAATTTTATTTATGAGCATGAATATAGAAAGGCTGATGTAACTGCAGATTAACGTGATTTGTTTGTAATATTCTATGACATTAAGACTTTCTGTTTTGTTTTTTTAAAATATACTTTACTGTTCCTAAGTACAACTTTTAACATGTCAAAACATGAAAGGAAGATTGGCCACTTTGTATCTCCTGAGCAGTTACAATGGTGCTTAATCCAGGAAGAGCTGTCAATTGATGCAAGAAATATTAAACTGATTATGCAAATCAACTGCTTTGCCAACAGCTTTATGGGAAACAACCAGTTCTGACAGTTATGAGGTAATATAAATCAAGGATCAAGGCTGAATATAAACATTAGAAATGTGGAAGGATGAGTGGAATAATTTGCCTGAATGAACAATGCAGGTTGGGACAGCATGCTTCACACCAACGCCAAAATTTTAAAAATTAATTTTTTATTTTAAAAAATTAAAACTTAATTTGGAAATTAAATCCAAAGTTTCTAAGAAATTAATAAACTGAAATTCAATACTGTACTTCACAAAGCCTATTGCACTGTCATCTAGAACAGGATAGAGAGACACAATACAAAAGGTATCTCCAGCAAGCTCCCTTGCTCATATTTAATACATTGCATCACCCAGGGTGCTCACACATTCCAAGAGAAAGATCTGGTCTTCACTTTTGAAAACAAGATTTCTCCCAAAAAATAAGCTTATTTTGATGACATATTTATTAAAATGCACTCTACCTCAAAAAGGAAAAGTGCAATTGGAAAACATGGCTTTCTGTTAAAATTCTATTTTAATAATCATTTCTGGTCAGTCAGTGTTACAGATTAAATTCCTTCATTTTCAATAAACAATCTAGAAGCCACAAAATGTAGAAAACACATACCAAGAGCATGCTACTTTTAGGAAAGATTATTATGCAATATTTAAGGGCCTGTACATCTCCCCTCTATTCTAATATGGCAATTATTTATTGACAAAGTGTGAAGATGCAGTTGTAGCAGGTGTCCATCCCAGGTGCTGGCAACTCAGCATGGCAGGAGTGGTGTCTGTGAGGACAGGCCAGGGCTGCCCCACGCTGGATAAAGCCAGCCCCAGTGCACCCACCTTGGGGCACAGCTGAGGAGGCCCTTGGCCCTTGGGAGAGCATATTAAAGGACAGGCCAAGCACCCCCAACCCCGGCACCAAGATGATGGATGGAGAGAGGAGAAGGAAATCAATTGTTTGATGTCTGTCCTGCTTCCCGACTGCAAAGCTTATCATTCCAGAAGTGAGAAGTGAAATGCTGTTGGTTTTGGTTTGTTTTCAACATGCACTGTTGAAAACAAACCATGTCCCTTTTCAGAAGGCTGCCCTATGAATGAATGTTACTACTGAGGTAAATGAAAAGAACACTGCTATCGCAGAGCTTCCTACTGCTCTGATCTAAGCTGTGTCTTGTAACACATCTTCCAGAAAATCCTTTTGCCTAGTTCTAATATGGAGATACAGAACAACTACTCTTCATCTGTGACACAATCCATTCATACTACCCAATAATCAATCACCTGCCATTTAAAAACATACATATTATGCTCAACACACATTTTCTGATTCTAGGTGTCAAATATCTGCTTTCTATGCCTTCTGCTGTTGCTTTAAAAGCCTTCTAATAGTTGATAGTCCACATATGAAGGCAATTTCAACTATCCTTTGAAAAAATAGGCAGGTGGTCTGAATATAGATGTCGTACTCTATAACCAGGTGTCAGGCTGAACAAAAATTTCTGCAAAAGTCTAAGACATTCAAGTCATACTTCTCCCATCATCCCTTTACACAAGAATGGATAAAGAAACTGTTGAAATGTAATGATGCTACACAGAGAAGCAAATATTTTCTGTATTTCTTGTACACTCTCTTTTACCATCGGTATTCACCAATTAAACAAAATGACAGAATTCTGCTTCTTTCCAATTACAAAGCATTTCTGTCCTTTCAGCATCAACAACAGAAAATGTACCACTGCTAGCATTCTGCACTGACATTTATAACAACTTCTTCCATGTTCAAAGCAGGATTGTTTCAGGCACTCTGAGGACTCAACCAATTGATCAGTACACTGGATTCCTGCAGACTAAGATTTTTTTTCTCAGTCCAATTCAATGTGCAAATATGCATTCACTCTCTGGCTCTAGGAAATGTTATCACTGGATATAGTAAAGGATGTCAGGCACAAAGCAGACAGTTTTAAGAGAGCACATCAAAAAGCAAACTTATTTGTGCCTCTCAATAAGATGAAAATTTTGGATTGGTAGAGTCTCAGTCTATGGAAGATGGATAATCTTGCAAGAACTCTTCACCAAGAATTTCTCTTGGGTAAGACCTATCTTTAGTATCTACACTTACATCCTATAGTATTCCAGAAGTGCACCACTATCAAGACCATGCTTTACCTTCTTTCCAATATTTACAAATGAAAGTAGACACAACAACTGCATTTTAAACTGAGCAAGTACGAATGCACTTTAGGTACACTTACCAGATTGGGGATTTACATACAGGATCCCAAGCCTGTAAGTTTCAAGCAGAACATGGAAAAAAGTGAAGGTGGACAAAGCTAGGAACCTTGCATCATTTTTCCCCCTATAAGCATTCCCACTTGCTCAATGTAACGCTATGTGTCCCAGAGTAAAAATCAAACTTCAAGTTTCTAATTGATACTTGTCATGAACCATCTTCTAACAGATGTTTAGTATTTCATCTACTATTTATTTTAAATACTTAACATGATTCTTTATGGCTTTCTAACAAGTATCTGGCTACACTGTTTCTTTGAAATTCATATTCACCACATATAAAAGCGACGTCTGTGCTTGAAAAAGCAATCAAATAACACACTCATATGCCTGACACTTACCTCTTCAGAGAGCTCCCCAAATACTGTTAGAACATCTATCAGGAGACTTGCAGTATAAAAGGACTTTATCATATTTCTACAAAAAAGAAAGCATTTTGTTAACTTGGCAATTTCAGTCTCTCAGAATCACATTTTAGGCGTTGTAATCTTAGACCATGCTGACTTATTCCAAGCTCAACATCGCTTTTTTTTTTTCTTTTAATCTGATGTTACAGAAGCTGCTTCACAACATTTAAATCTAGCAATATTGATTAGTCTCCTAACTACTATGCAGAAAATGTTCAGCATTTTTTAAAACTGGTTATGCATTCTGCACTTAGTTTCTAGCTTGGAATTTGTAGGACATCAGAAATCCTGTATTAGGTTAGAAAAATATACGAACATGCCATTGTAATTGCTGTAAACCAAAACACATAATGGATCATCACAACTATTCTACTATCACTGGTCAATAGTGATAGTATTTTATTTTAATAGTGATTTAAAACTATAACATGCTTGATAAAATAAAGCACAATATTAGCCTGTGGTTTTAGAAGGCTTGCCAGTAGGTAAGCAACTCCCTAAGGAACATAAAGATACCAGTTGATGTGTGATGTTAAGAGACCTATAAGTAGTAACAAATTGAGTTTTCCAGAAGAGAAAAGAATGTATTAAAGCTCAACTCTTGCTTCCATTCAAATTAAAGCGTTTGGATATTCACATTCCCTGACCAGTATCTTCAGATAAGAAAAAAAATATTTTCACCTACTTATGAAATTGCCCAGCTCTGTCTTCATTGTCTGCATACAAAAACATTTTCAAGGCATAATTCTCCACATGAGCAGAGCCAACAATTTCCTGAGTAATTGCTTCATTATCACCAAATTGCTTTTTCATCTGAAAAATGTTGGAAAAATACATTAATTACTTTATCAGACCTTAGCAATTTTGCAAACACAAAAAGAACCTGTTGATTTAAACAAAGTCAATTACAATTTAAAAAGAAACAACTTACACTTTGTTGTACAAATCTGCAGCTTCTAATATAACAAATGCTAAAAGCAGCATGTGAAAGAGAACGCATATTCTTTTGGAGAGAGAAATATTACAAATAAGTACCTCTGAATCTGCAGTCACAAAATACGTAGAAAAACCACCAACACCCTAACATCTTCTCCGCCAAAGTTAAAAATAAACACAACTACAATGTTGTGAAGGAACAGCAACAGATATTTTTCCCCTTAGTATCTGAAAGACTGAGCACTCTGAAGCCTGTGTCAAGATTCAACACAGTTCAACTGTGAAGCAATGCATGCCTTATAAAGGTGCTGTAGATCAGTCATCACGTATCTCTCCTCTTGTAAGGTTATTTCACTGCAGCTCATTACATCTTTCAAAGTATCTGAGCCCTACCTTGACCGGTCTAGTGACCTATGGATTTACTGGAATTTTCAGTGTAAGCAGAGTATTTCAATTCAAAGAACTCTTTTCAAAGATGTTAGAGTACCAGAATCCTCAGGTTTCCTAATAAAAATCAGTAAAGCAAACAACCCTCTAACAGTTACAACAGGTGGATTTACAGCCTCTGAATAGGCTTACTGTTTGCACATAAGGAAATCTCAGGTTATCCTCAGAGAACAAAAACAGGAACACTGCATGATACTAACCTGCAGCCTTTATTTTGCCAAAAGATTTAAAAACAATCTCTGAATGGCAGTTATTTTTCACTGTGTGTGCGAAGAAAATTTTAATCATGCAGGCAGTATTTCCATATTTTTTAGATTGCTGCCAACTTTCTAAGACATAAAATGTTGCCAGAAAAGTTACTTCATTTCAGTAGTTAAATACAAGCTTTCCAAATATAATTTTAAATTTAAAGGCTTTAGTCAAACTACTCTATGTACAAATAAAAAAAGTATTTGTTTTACAAAGTGTAATTTTCTTGTGAAAGTACCAAAATTCGTGTGTTCAAATGAAACACTCAAACACTGACACTAACTCAGGAAGAAAACTGTTTGTATACACATATATATCCCTAACCTATCTGTACACCTCACATGCAAACAAGAACTGATTACTATAATTGATCTGATGCTCAATTATTTCATACACACAACTGGCACTGTTACATATGCTTCCAAAAGTACTAAATTTAACCAAGCTGTTTACTGTTGAAATTATCCTTCACACAATCTGTGATTCAATACAGCAGTACTGGTGTTTTAAACCTTGATACAAAATTCCAACCTACAACTCAAGGCATTTAGGCTTAACCTTAAAAAAATTAAACCGCACCCCTCTGCGCCCCCTGGTGGTTATGGGCAGACTCAAAACAGCAGCTCCTAAATTACAGCAGGGGTCCAACTTTTCCATAAACCCTAACTTCCTAGCCCCAAAACTGCTCTATTAGACTTGACTAGGAGTGCTCTCTCCATACTTTACTCACCCGGATACACCGAAGAATATTCAATACCTGTATATGAGTTGTCACACAATCTTACCAGTAACCAAGAGGTGAAACGATAGATTTTTGCTATTTTTTTAGTCTTTTCAGTTTTGAAACAGAAGGGGTAACCGGATGCTGCAGATTAACCGCTGCAGTACCACAAGTAACCCAGCAAATCCCAACATTTCTTAGGAAACGAAGAGCAAAATCCTTCTGAGTTTTAATCTCACCTCTCCTGCTACCTCTCTCTCCCTTTGAACACAAACCCGTCCTATTAAAGATGTCAAAATCCCGTGAAATAACACACCAAGAAATCACTGTACACTGAATTTTCCATTGCAAAAATCAGTAATAAAAAAAGCAAGAAGCACGAGTTATTAAAAACAAAATGGTTCTTGTTTCATTTTTTTTCTGAAGAATCCCAGAACGGTTTGGATTGGAAAGGACCTTAAGGGTCATCCAATTCCAACTCCCCTGCTGTAAGCAGGGATGCCATTCACTAGAAGAGGTTGCTCAGGACCTATCCAACCTGGCCTTGAATACCTCTGTGGGCGAGTGATCCATCTTTCATAACTGAAGGCAGTTATACTACTTCCACAAAAACTCTTCAGGCACTGCTAGACTTTGGATGCAATCACTGATACTGAACAAAAAATGAACTGCTGCTTCATTTTTCAACACTACCTTCTGCTTCCAAATAAGCACTTAGACCTTAGAATCAACAAACTTCTTCCTCTGAGAACACTGAAAACTACATAAACAACTCCTGGAACTTAAACTGACCATCTGTACCACAACTTTACTTTTCTTTGTTTAACTCTCTTCTATTTAAGGCTTTTAATTAGTATCAGGTGCATTCAGAAGAGTGTGGCATAGCTATCCCCTTACCCACACAGATTAGACTGTGCTTACAAGAATTTATAAAATAAAATCTCCAATCTCTAACACAGGATACAATCAGAAGTATCTTTAGATTTTAAAGAGTATTTTTAAAAACTCCCTGGATACAATAGTTTAGCTTAGAGATTTCAAAAGCATCCCAGCACTAGGCTATTAAGCCCTATAGCAGTGAAAATAACTGTACAGACTTCAAGGAATCAAAGGTAAATAAATTTTAAAAAATCTTCTAGAACACCTGCATTAACTTCCTAATGAATTATGATTTGTCATGAGAACACATATAAATAAAGCATTGTAATTTATGATGCCTACACAAAATCTTATGGCAAAATTTCAATTATGTTTGTGCATGCATACACATGCACAAACATAATTGAAACATACACCTTTATCTCCTTCCAATCCTTATGCAATTTATTAGATACAACTGAAGTTCATGCAGTATACTTGCATGCAGAATAGCTGCAGAGAAGAGACAGTATTTGCAGAATTTTTTAAAAAAGTTATATTAATATTATGACCATTTTTGAAGAAAGCAATAAATTCTACTTACAGCTTCCAACTGATCCATAAGTTTGGATAAAAATTTACGGCATTCTGGCGTTTTACTGTCAATCTTCATCCCTGTCTGCATTGCATACAAACGACCTTGAAATGATACAAAACACACAAAAAACACTGAAAGTCATTACCTAAGGCAGACCCTTAAGCAAACAATGCAATGCCCCCCAACACACCTGAAAGACAAACTCATGATTTAACCATATACTGACTCCAGTACTAGTGAGCAGCGACAGCAAAATGTAAGGTTTGGCCTTGCAGAGATACTAGGAGATAGTTTGGGGAGATTTATGTTTTATTTTTCCCCAATGACTATTCTTACTCATTTTAAACTGATGTTTGTACCACTGTTATGCAATATCAAGTGCTTTTATAAATTACCACCATCCTCACTTGCAACTCACCCAAACAGGACCTTCAAAGTGATTGGAGGGAGTGTATGGATATAAATGGAACTTCATGTAGCAGGAACCAGTTATCCTTAAAAGCCTTGAACAAATGGTACTAAGCACTTACTATCTACATGTATATGCATACATAGCATCAAAACACCCAAGACAGAAACCAGATCTTCACATCAGGCAAGATAGCCTTTAGCAAACTTCCGCTCCAAGCAGAGTTGCCAGTTTTAAGTAAGGTCTTGAACATGATTAACATCTTCTGATTAAAAATTATCTTTTTACTACCAAAAAACTGTGAGTTTTAGATTTGCACATGGCAGAACTTTATAGGCTTTATGAAACTGTGGGCAAACACAAGCAAGCATTATTTGCTAGGATTAACACATATCGAGAAGGGAAAACAGCCAAAAACATTCAATAATCAAATGCAGAACATTTCCCACAAAAAAACGTATTCCTCTAACTCTCACTTCTGACTCTCAAGGGAGTCCTACAAAACACTTTCAAATGCAGAGTTTAAGAATCAAAAGCTGTAACTCCACCAAATATTATCATGAGCTAGTTATTATGGAATACCCCATGTCCTTGCAGGACACAGAGTTCTGCAAGCAACATTAACTTGCCTCACAGCTTTAGCATCTTGTTCCTCCCAAGCACCTCTTCATACACTAGAGAGAATCTTTTCCCTTCAAATTACCTCAGTAAACATGAATATAACACAATTGCTATCACATTGCATTTATCCTGATGCTTGCTGCAGAAGAAAACATTTTATATTCACAAGCTAGTCTGCCTTTTCCATCTATTAGCAATTTGTCTAATAAAATCTGATCTCTTTCTACAAAACTTACTTGGATTCTGCTGGTGACTGCCATCATTTAACTAATTTTTCTGGATTTTTGAAGTAGTATTTCTTATTTTATATACAACTGAGTGTTCAAACCAGACTAAGCATACATTCCTTATTTGGGACTGCAAAGCTCACTTATTTTTGAATGTTAAAGCTGTTGGGCTGCCTAACCATTTAAAGACACTCCCCCTGAAAAATAAAATACTTGTGCTTTCCAGTGCCTCTCTATTTTTACTATTACAATGTATAGAAGGATCTAGCATCTTCATACTCAAGTTTTCAGTAAAGAACAACCAAGTGAAAGTCCTGACCAAAACTAAAGGAATTAGTAAAAACTTAAGAGCAACTACAATACCTGACCATGATGGAAGAATTTCCATGTAGGTTTCATCAAGTGACAACATTTCTATTAAGTTAATTACTGATAGGTACACTTAAGCCCACTTAATTCATCTTCAGGATACTGACATGTTAATGTTAAACATTACAAAACTAGCACATATAAGGTTCAAATTAGATTTCAAAGACAGTCAAACACAGAGAGAGACAGAATTGCATCTAAGGCACTAAAATTAATATTAAAAGCAATCATCAATTAAAATACCAACATCACATGACAAGGAGCTAATTTGCAGTCTTCAATTAAATTGATTTTTAAGTACATACTTGATTGTAAGCTCCCCTGAACCCATTTCATGGTATAATTTAACAATATAAAACTTAAGAATTAACATAAGGTTGCTAAACCTATGAACCATCTAGATCAGTTCTTTTTAATGGATGCCAAGATCAGATATTTTCAGGGAAATAAATTAACTTTAGACTGATATGTATTAGGGTGACAAATTCAAAATATATTCATTCATTACGGGATAAAAATTTACCTTACTTGCTGAAGTATGCATCTTCAGATCTCATCCATAACTCTTTTACATAAAAAGAACTCTGCTTCCATATAAGTGCATCTTGCAAATGTCTTTAGCCTTGATCAGTTTAAAAATTAAAAGATCTTCTACACTGTAACTGCTACTCTTGTGTTACCTGTATGTGGGTTTTTTCACTCTAACTGCAAGTACATCCATTTATATTGTGAAATCCAGATAATTTTTTCTTCACTAATATCCCAAGGGGTGTATTTACTGAAACACCTGCAGACTTTGTAAAAAGCCCTGAAAAACCAGCCCTGTCCTGTCTTAGGATTTCAGCAGGCGAGAAAGACTTTAGGACTCCTTTAGGCACTCCAATGAACAAATGCTGAACAACTCTTGAACACACAGAAATCACATGTCAGAGAACAACAGTTACAGAAACAAGAAAAATGGGGGTTTTTTGTCCATATATAAGGTTACACTGTGGGTGACACCAAGCAATTTTCCACACCAACACCTTCCTCCTAACGAAAGATTCTAGGACCAAGGTACTCAAGGTTCCTAGGTTGTTAAAAATCAAAGTACTATTATCCAAAGCACAGACTGTCAAGAAAGAGTGAAGGTGCTCTTGCAGCAGCAGCTCTAAGATACCAGGAACAGAGACATCCTAGAGACAGACTATTAATGTCACCTGAGATAAGATTAAATGTGTTCCACCTGTCACAGCAATTACATTTCTGTGCCCCACAACTGACCACAGTAGACAGTTACCACATGCAGCCACCAAGTCCCAGTTTGTATCAACACCTACAGAAATTGTTAAGATTTCCTAAAAGATCTTATTAACTAGCAAAGGGTCAAAGCACGCTTAAGTTACCCTAACAAGAGAGTCTACTGTGATCTTTAAAAGCTTTTGAAGTCTGGAATTTTTGCATGCTCACTTCTTCACATACATTCATATGTTTGAAAGAAGGGGTAACCTGTCCAGAGACAGGCCTCTGATGAAGCCATTGTTCAGATAAAGGCAAAAGCTATCCCTGTTTTGTCAAGTAAGTGGTGATCAAGAAAGAGCACAAAGTCTGTGAAGACAACTACTGACAGAGTATCACTACCAAGTAGCATTCAGAGCCAAAAGGTAGTCTTGGCTCAGATACTGTTGATAAAACACTGATAAAGCCTGATTGCAATGAAAGATGAGGAAACCTTCAGGTCCGGAAATGCAAAGCAGACACTACCAGTCAAAATCTCCACAAACCATCAGTTTCAGTTGATTAACTGAAGGAACAGAAGAAAAGTACTCTCTACCAGTTTGAATCTCATCAGGGACACACAGAATGTTGTTAAGTATGTTCAGGTACACTTACTGCTTTACTCAGTGCTGCTCTAGTCAAAAGTAGGGCTTTGGGATTGAAAACCTCTACCATTAAACTTACCAAACAAACAGAAGGTGAAATAGTTGAAAAACTGAAAGAGCTAGAGATTTCTAGGAAAGGAAACAAAATAAGGAGAGGAGGAAATAAATTGGTATTTATCTTGAAAGACAATACTGAAATAAATATAATAACCTTTTAATGGTTTAAAATTTTGCTTTTGAAATTATCTGTATGAAGAGCAATATGGGAGTGAATCTGAAAGGAGTAAGCAATCCTTTGCCATAGTTACTAGTTATACTTTTTCAATTTTTGAGTATTACTATAACATATTCCTAAGGAAAAAAAAATATTTCCAAATGGAAGTTCTTCCACATCTGTGCCTTCTGTTATCCTCTCTGCTCTAATTTTGAAATGTCCCAAGTATTCTACAAGAAGGCTATCTGTAAGACTGTGTTGGTTTTGGTACTACTACCTTTGCCAGTTAGTTCTCTTCATTATCTTTTGTGTGTGCTTGATCACACAAGTATTACTTATAGTAAAGACACATGATTGTAACTGAAAAATATGTTTTTACCTAGTGAAGTAAATCTATTAATGTCCTTTTCCTGCCTAACTTGCAGCAAACGGGCAAATGCACCTCATTACTAAATTTTCAGCAGCAAGAGCAAAACATACATTTCCTTTGTTAATATCCTTAGTCAAATTTTAAACTAGCAATTAATGGTCAAAGAACTGTCCTCCATGTTTATGTTGACATGTAATCTCAGTAGCAAATAACTCATAAGCGAGGGGTCAAAAGTTTACCCCCTCCAGGATCTCCACTAAGAAAGTCAACAGTGACATGAGTTCAGTTGCCCCCTTTCCCCACATCCAAAAGAAAATAAATTATTTACATTCCATTAAATACAGTTGTTCTGATTTCTGCAATATTGCAAAAGCAATGAACATTATTATTAGTATGCTTGCTAAGTCACAAAACTTTTGCTTCAATGGAAGTGGTTCAATTTCTAATAAGTGGAAAGTAATCTCCCGAACAGTACAGACGCCACAAAAGAAATCCTCATAGTGTTATGTATTTTAAATGCATTGTTTTACCTTATAGGATACCACACTTGAAAGGCCATTTTACATCAAAATCATTTTGGTTTTCTCTTTGGAGAACTTCTCTATACATTGAACAAAATGTTTAAAGTGCATGTCCCTAATGACCAGTGACACACTGTTAAAACTAAAGAACTTGACTTACAGGAGGCATTTGTTTAGGAACTTCTAATAAAAGAAAATCCTCTGTGAACAGCCATGCTTCTGAAAATGTTGATATAAAAGAAAACTAAACCTATACAATGCAGCTGCAAATATTCTCAAGTTTTAAAGCCTAAATGTATATGAAGAATGCAGACAATCTTGGAAATAAATGACCTGTATTTCTTATCTCTCTTCACTATTTATGATTAAGATCTGGAATATCTGGGAACAAACAGATGAATGAAGTTATTCTTCCTTTTTGTTTTATGCACTCAGTTTTATAATAGATACAACTATTTTTTGACCCTCTCTATTCAAACCAAGTAGCAAAAATGTGGCCAACAAAGTA